CTTGTGCTGGATCTAGTTTTGCGGAGAAAACAAAGCAAATTCCTGCATATACTATTATAAAATTGGGATCTTAGTTACATACATTAAACTGTCACAACAAGTTAGATTTTATTAAATTACCAGTCAGTGCTTATTATAGAGATTTATCTGCTCTTACCTTATAACTGACTTGATTGTTTGTGTAAATAATTTAACAATAACCCTGATGTATAACTTAATATCTATGTATACATTTAACCAAATAATAATTGACATTGGGGTATTTGTGTTTGCACAGGGTGGTGCCAAGAAGGTTGTGATCTCTGCTCCTAGCAAGGATGCCCCCATGTTTGTTGTGGGTGTCAACGAGAAGGAATACAAGCCAGAGTATGACATTGTCTCCAATGCTAGTTGCACTACCAACTGCCTTGCACCTTTGGCTAAGGTCATCAATGATAGGTTTGGAATTGTGGAGGGTCTCATGACTACTGTCCACTCCCTTACTGGTTAGTATATTCCTAGTTACTTTAAATTGTGGATTTGTGATGAACTTTATATATAGTTCTGATGCGATGCAATGGTCTTGTCACTCAGCCACCCAGAAGACTGTTGATGGTCCATCCATGAAGGACTGGAGAGGTGGAAGAGCTGCTTCATTCAACATCATTCCTAGCAGCACTGGTGCTGCCAAGGTAATTATTATTGTATTTTTGGTGTCTTTGCTTATAGTTGCTCTCTGTTCCATGTTTGTTCCATCTATGCTATAGAATACCATATAAACTATTCAAAAAAGAAAAGATAAGAATGTTAATAAATGATCCTCAGTAGGTAAATCAATCTTTCAGCAATGACAGAGACGCATTTTATATGGACTTCTTAAATCCTAGTTTTATCTGAAAATATTCATCTCGAGTCTAGTCTGTTAAGCACTCCAAATCAATCTTTCAGCAATGACAGAGACGCATTTTATATGGACTTCTTAAATCCTAGTTTTATTTGAAAATATTCATCTCTAGAGTCTAGTCTGTTAAGTACTCCAAAGCAAATCCAATCTATCAAGCATAACATGGAACTTTAACTAAGTGAGCAAGCTATTCATGAGAAGGTTCAATTATTGTCTTGGTTATTTTCGTTATACTTAGGGTTATTGCACCTGGTAATACCTGATAGATTTTTAGTTTGATCAAGTTGCATTCATCGTAATGTAGGCTGTTGGAAAAGTGCTCCCAGCCCTTAATGGAAAATTGACTGGAATGGCCTTCAGAGTTCCAACTGTTGATGTTTCTGTTGTGGACCTTACTGTAAGACTAGAGAAAGAGGCTTCTTATGATGACATCAAAGCCGCAATCAAGTAAGTTTCTGTTTGATCACTTGTGTTGTCTTATTGGTCCCTTGTGCAACCACACTAACTTGTTCCATGATCTTGGATTCATAGGGAGGAATCAGAGGGTAAGTTGAAGGGTATCTTGGGATTCACCGAAGATGATGTGGTTTCCACGGACTTTGTTGGTGACAGCAGGTATATACTTGATTCAATTTACTCAAAAGAGGTACCTTAATTCTTGAAGTGCATTTGTTTAATGTGAAATTATTGAATTGCAGGTCAAGCATTTTCGACGCCAAGGCTGGAATTGCCTTGAGCAAGAACTTTGTGAAACTCGTGTCGTGGTATGACAATGAATGGGGTTACAGGTAATGTTCTTTGCCTTGGTCTTCTTTTTGCTCATCTTTACACCATTCTTTTATAACACAATTTGTTTCTTGACTCTGCAGCTCTCGTGTGATTGATTTGATCTGCCATATGGCTTCTGTTGCTTAAGGATTTGATGCTGGGTAAAATGGCCTCTTTAGTTTTTGATTGATGAATCATAGGGGTATTAGTTTTCTATGGCTGGGAGTGGTCTTCTTGTTTGGTGGTCTTGTTTAATTGTAATGGAATAACCAGAGAGGAACTGTGTTATCTTTGAGGAATGTTGGGCTTTTTTCGTTTGACTTGTCATGATTGAAGAAATGAAACTTTACTTTTTCCCAATACAAGTTTTTGTTTCCTCGTTTTTGTTATCCTTGGTTTATGTCTTGGTCTGGCTTTAAATGATTGAAGATTACACTACCTATGTTTGTGCTATTCCTATTGAAGATTACATTTGATAATGCATCGAATGCATTAAAGTTTCTAATTGGCAAGCTCTGTCAAAAGTATTAAAGAGGTGAATGTCCTCATTAATTGACTAATTTGTCTTTTTTATTTTGGTCCAAAATAAGTGTTTGTTTATATAATTAAGAAAAAAATTTAATTTATTTTTTCAAAGTTATCCTTATGAGTCTCTCATATTAATTATGCTTTAATATTTTAACATTTAATTAAGGATAGTTTAGTTATATTAATTATTTTTATCTAGAATTTAGTATTTTTTTTAATGGGTGTATTGGTCACTTATTGTGGCTCCGGAGGGAGCAAAGTATTAAAGAGTACTAGTATATTTCTCAGCATTTCTCTTTCAGAGTTAAGCTTAATAAAATTAGCACTTTCAGTCTGGAGCTATGTTTTTTACTACATGACATAAGATTTTCTTCTCCACTTCAGAAACACCAAAAGTGAGCACACAGTTATTTTATTTTAGCTTTCACTCATCTAACTCGTTATTTTCCATAGTCAAGTATGTGCAAAACTGAAAGGGAAGCACTGGGATATTAATTCTGAGATTAGATGTAGGATTATTTTTGAATTTTGGGTTAGCTATTTCTGGATAATTAATTTTGGGATTAACAATTTGGGGATAATTAATCTAGGGAGAAACACTTTGAATTGTTCTAAGTCTTTTAAATGATTCAAGATTAAAATTGAAAATAAAATTTATTTCTAACTTATTTAGTATTTATATTATACCCAACATCCTCATTTTTAGTTCTATGAGCAATTCGATAAAAATATATTTATTGATTAATTAATTTTGTTATTATTTAAATTCCACTGTTGCTTTCACATAAAACACCAAATATTTCTCAAAAACACAACATTATATCATGTTAAGAAATAATACTATAATAAGAGCAAAATAAAATAATATAGAAGAATGAAATTAGAGATAAGAAATATAGAGTAGACATTTTTCCTTCAAGTGTTTGACTAAAAATCTGAATCAGGGAACTCAACCGTTCTCTTGTTGAAGAATAAGTCAAAGGTCTCGGGGGCATCCCACCGTTGCTTTCACATCACCCTTCACTTCCTTTTTCCTCAAAATTGTTTTCCAGATATGATATTTTGAAGTGCATTCTGGTGTATTCCTAACAGATACATCCAAAGGATGGTTGAGTGGTTTTCGTGTGATAATCTCTTCTTCAATATACACCACATGTCTTAAATTTTGCCATCATAGGTAACAAAAATAAATATTCTTTCTTATGTTTTTGCAAGGAAGTAAGTTTAGGGTGCAAATTGTTTTTAAAAAACAGGAATTTGAAACATAGGATCTTTAAGGTTGAAACTTTTGTACCTCAACCATTCTTTGTGACCAAATAAATACATTTAGTCTCGTTTATTTGGTTTGATACACATCTGATTCTTTCAATTGAGCTTTGACTGAAAAAAGATTGAAATAATTTTTAAAAAGAAAATAAAAGAAAAAGAGAGATAAACAACACACAACAGAAGAAACTCAGCTACATGGCCTAAAAATCAATATCAAAAGATTGGCAACCACTTCAAACTAATTGAGAAAATAACACTGCATGGCTGCCTAAAAAATTTAATAGCCCAAAATTTTGCACTTTATCCGAAATATCCAGTGAAATAAATTTAATATCAAATCATAGCCATTAGCACAACTATTATCGTCTGAACTAAAATTTCTCATATTTTCATATCCAAACAACATCACATACTCCTAAAAACTTTATTATTTATTATACACGTTTTCCAACCTAACTTTATCTCTTTCATCTCATTTCTCAAGAATAATTTTTTATCTTCTAGAACCCACTCACCTGTAAAATTACTCACATCTTCTTTTTTTGTCTTCTTCATTTTCTTTCTTTGTCTATTTCTCTCTCTTCTTTATTCATTCTCCTTTTTCTATTTCTCACTTCAGATCTAAATTTCTTTCTTTTATTTTACATTTTATATGGAAAAACTTCTTTTGAGTAGATAGAAAAGTTGCCAAAAATTCAATTTAAATTTTAAAAGAATTTCTTCGATTAATACTACGGTAATGATATTAAGAGTGGCAGTAGAAGAGGTGAAATTTTCTAGTCAAGCTCTGTGTATTTCTGTTGGTATTTTATTGGTGATTATGGTAATTTTTGTGAGGATATGAGATTTTATGGTAGATCGACGGGTTATTTTTTCATACAGGGAGTTTCTTCTTCTTCTTCCCCGTCTTCTTCTTCCTCCTCGTCTTCTTCCTCATCTTCTTCTTCCTCCTCGTCTTATTCTTCCTCTTCTTCTTCATCCTCTTTCTCCTCCTCCTCGTCTTCTTCGTCCTCTTTCTCCTCCCCCTTCTCCTCATCTTCCTCCTCCTCTTCCTCTTCTTCTTCCTTCTCTCCTCTTCTTCTTCTTCTTCTTCTTCTTCTTCCTCCTCCTCTTCCTCCTCCTCCTCCTCCTCCTTCTTCTTCTTGTCATAATGGTATTTTGTGAGTGAAGATCTTTTACAGTGAGTGTTGATGGNTTATATATATATATATATATAGTTATACAATGTATTAAATATTTTATACACACATATATAGAGTTGTACATATACGATAATTTGTATTGTAGTTTTGTATAACAAATTTATATATTATGCTATGTATAAAAGTTGTATATACATTGTATCCTAGGTTTGGCAATGCATTTTGTATATATTGAGTGTATTCTGAACGTGTTTGTATATCCAAAGCGTATATTGAATTTTTTATACATTTATAGTGTATATATACTACACAATATGTATACATTGTGTATATATTATGTATGTATACTACATAATATTTATATAAACTATATACAAATTATATACATAATTTATACATGATTGATACATATTATGCAATTATAATTTTGTATAAAAAGTGTATATAAACCGTTATATATGTATAGAAGATGTATATTTACAGTTAAATAGTATATAAAAGTTTTATATACAATATTTCCTGAGTTTGACAATGTATTCTTAGTGTATTTCGAGTTGTTGTGTATTTTAAGTGTACAAAAAATATATTGTTCAACGATGTATAAAAAGCGTATAGTACGTGTACAACCTATACATCACCTTGTTTTTCTTCTTCTTCTTCTTCTTCTTCTTCTTATCTCATGAGTATTTTTTGCTTATGTAGTATTATATTTTCCTAAATTTGATCACTAAAAATTTAAAATTCTTTGTAAAAGTTAAAAAGGGAATTTATAATTTGTGCATAATAGGAAGAAGTTTGGTGGTTGTGGAGAAGACAGTTGGGTTTGATGGAATTTTGGGGTTGAAAGGATACTTTTTTACGGGGATTTCACTAGATATGAAGGATTTTGGGTGTGATTTGGCGAGATTTTAATTTTTTTAACTACTAACATTAATTTTAAAAGAATGTTAGGCTAGAGGTTGGGCTAGCAGCTATTATGGTTGCATTGAGGAGCCAGAGTCTCTCGTTGGTTTTTTAAGTTTCACTTGCTAGCCCTTATAATTATTTTTGGGCTATGAATTGTATACCTTATTTTTTGGCTATCAGTTGTCATTAGTTTTCACCAAGTGGCTACAAATGAATTTCTCTCAAACTAATTTAATGTAAATGGGCCATATAAAGTCTGGGCCAGTCCAAAAAGAAAAAAATATGAGAGACGGGCCGAATAGATCCAATTAGTTACCCCGGTAGTAATACCTCTCGCCGTTCCCAAACTATGCAAAGCCACCACCGGCTCAAAGTTGCTAACGTCCGGCGACAAGAGGTAATTTTTCTTTGTTATCACTTCTTAGGATTAGGTGACGTTTGGTTTGATTTTCGAAAAACAGCCAATCAACCAACTATCTCGGTGCCTATCTGGTTTTCTTCTTTATAGTGACACCTTCTTATAATTCAGATACACATAGGTATACTATCACAGGAACTGGTGATGAATTTACATAGGTACACTGGAGTCGTTTCTAATGGAGATGCTGAAATTTTACTGAAACCCCTGTTCGAAAGAACCTTCGTTTCGGTCTTAAATTCGGATATTTTATTTGGAGTTGATGTCCGAATGTGCTTCTTATTAGTCTATAATACAAAAAACATGAGAAAATCTATCTTTTCTTTTTTCTTCTAATCTTATTTGCTGTCTGAAATTTATCACTTTTGCATTGTACTGTTAAGTTGCTGATTTTCTTCAATATGTATGCAGGAACAAGAAATACTTACTTTGTGGTGTTTATTATTGGCCGACACCAACTAGTTTGAGATTAAGTCATAGCAGAGGCGTATCTTGGATTTTAAATTTATGGGTTCGGTATTTTAGGACAGCGACCTCAAGTGCTAGTTACTGAGTTCTGAATTTAATACCCGTACATATTTAGTTAATTTCTTAACAATCTACAGGATTTGAGCAAAGCTACTGGGTCGGTTGAACCAGTATGTTACACTCTGCGTCTTCCCCTGAGTAATAGTTGTTGTTGTTGTTGTTGTTGTCGTGTCTTGTGTGATACTGATACTAGTCTCATGAAGTTCTATGCTAGAAAACTGCCCTTTAGATGCCTATCTGTTTCTCTCCCATTTGGGGTTTGTAACATTTCTAATGTACCATGTAAAAGTTGCTTTAGCTACTTTTCCACCTTGTCTAGTGTGTTTTGTTCCGTAAGTCCCCAGTTTGCTGGCGATAGAATTCCAGGCGAGCAACAGAAATGCATGATCTTGGGAAGAGATTCTGATGTTAATGTTGTACTTGCTAGAATAAGTCCTGGAAGCAGTGAGGCTGAGGTTCTCCAGTCATTGCTTTCTGATCCGGCTTGTGATTCCATACATATCACTGATAACTTTGTTGATTGGGTGCTTTATCGCTTCAAAGATGACTGGAAGTCTGCACTTGGTGCTTTTAGATGGGCACAATCACGTCCTGGCTACAATCCCTCACCAGAATTGTACGACAAGTTGGTAGATATACTGGGAAAGATGAAGAAAATGGAAAAGATGCACTCATTGATAGACGAAATGCATGCAAACCATCTTGTTTCTCTTAACACAATAGCAAAAGTTATGAGAAGGTTTGCAGGTGCAGGAGAGTGGAAAGAAGCAGTGAGGACATTTGACGAGTTGGGAAAATTCGGTTTGGAGAAGAATGCAGAATCAATGAATCTGTTACTAGACACTTTGTGCAAAGAAAATAAAGTCCAACAGGCGCGTGAAATTTTTTCCGAGCTCAAGTCGCATATCCCACCAAATGCAAACACGTTTAACGTTTTTATTCATGGTTGGTGCAAAGTTAATCGGGTAGAAGAAGCGTACTGGACAATTCAGGAGATGAAAGGCAATGGTTGTTCTCCTTGCGTCATCAGCTACTCAACCATCATCATGTCCTACTGCCAGCAATTTAACTTCCAGAGGGTCTATGAGCTGCTTGATGAAATGCAAGGACTGGGATGTGTACCAAATGTTATCACTTTCACCACTATCATGTGTTTCTTGACAAAATCAGGGGCATTTGAGGAAGCCCTTAAGATTGCTGAGAGGATGAAATCAGTTGGTTGTAAACCTGATACACTTTTCTACAACGCTCTGATTCATACATTAGGCAGGGCGCACCGATTACAAGAAGCTACTCGTGTCTTGAAGGTTGAAATGCCCAGAAATGGTGTTCAACCTAATACATCGACGTACAATACTATCATTGCCATGTTTTGCCATCATTTGCAAGAGGAAAGAGCGCTAGAATTTTTCAGGGACCTGGAAAGTTCACCATATTGTAAACCTGATGTTCAGTCATACTTTCCACTGCTCAAGTTGTGCTTTAAAGTTGGGAAGACAGATGATTTCCTGAATAAATTGGTGAATGCCATGGTTAATAAGCATCATCTAAGTCTTGATCTATCAAGTTATACACTTCTTATCCATGGTTTGTGCAGAGCAAATAAATGTGAATGGGCCTATCTTGTTTTTGAGGATATGATCCGCCAAGAGATTACTCCTCGATACAAGACATGCAGTGTGCTACTGCAGGAAATCAAACAAAAGAATATGCATGATGCTGCCGATAGGATTGAATTGTTCATGAAGAAAATGAAGACCTCCTGAATAGTTCCTGGAAACTAATTTGATGTTTCGTTTATCAAGTAACAAGTTTCCCTTCATAAGTGCCTGCTTTTAATAGATTGTTGAATTTGAAATGTAGATTTCTTGTTTGGCATAACACTGAAATCTGGGAATAGCGCTGCAGCTGTTCTCTCTGGTTTGGTATGAAGCTTGTACCTTGATCACATTTTCTTACTATTTCTTACATCTGGCTGCTTAATTAAGCCAGAGTAGTATCATGTTGCTTGGCTGCTGAATACACGGAGATGATTATCTTTCGGTTCACAAGGCTAGTCTTGGAGCAACTCTTAGTAGTCCACACTGATGCTTTAAAAGATTACAAAGCTCCATTCCAGGTTCTAGTGTGTTGCTCTTGATCCAAGTTTTTTTTTTCCTTTTCCTGTAGGATTGTTAAGGAGAGTGATGTTAAGAACTACTATATATACTTAATTTAAGATTTTTGGAATTCCAAATTGATGCTTGGCAGATTAACCTTTTTACAGATGATAGGGTATTGGTGAATTGTCCATGGTCCTCCTACGCTTGAGTTGCACTCACTTGCACTAAAGTTATTTTGCTAGCCTTTGCTCTTCTTCATGCTGCAAAAAGAACGGGAATACTTACTACTCTATGCATTCCTGAGAAGGATAAATTGGCTTCCAATCTGTGTTGAAGATATGGTGTCTGTGCACAAAATATTTTGGATGATGATCTTGGAATTCCCTGAAATTGCAAACCTTCTTTTGGGATAATGGTGGTTTTCGGGCCATCTTGGTGGCACCTTGCCTATTCCATCGAGCTTTGTTACCTACCTCCAACCAGCACAAGGCAGCTGGACAGAACTACCTAGCATATTCGTCTCTCTTGAGATTTGAACCTTATTCTACCGTGATTTTTCATCCACTTCATTTACTGCTCGGCCGTACCAATGGTGCCAGACCTAGAAGCGGTGAATTATACTATTGTATTGACGATGAAGGGCTTTATGTAAATGATGTACAATGCTTTGGTTTAGACTTTAGACTATAGACTAATTTTGAGAGTTACTTTCTTTTTGATGGATAACATAGAGAAATGAATGTCTTTTTCCGTCCAATATTTTGTCGGTGACTTCTAAATGGATGCCTTTTCATCCTAATATTTTGTACTAGGTGACTTACTGTTTAAAGTATGTTGTTGCTCCATTACTTTATATTGAAACTTCCAATTTTGTGGATGTTGTCATCTCCATGCTTAGTTTTTGTGTTTAGTATCCGAAGTTGGCAGCCAACTAATTCTACCAAAGGCGACCTATTCCAAGGGTTCGAATTCAGGATCTCTGATTAAAGATTAAGAGGTATATATCACTCTAGCACAACCTTTAGTGGTTTATAGTTATTGTCACTGCTTGTAGATCTGCAGTTTATGATTCATGTATGTGTGTTGGAATGCAGTGCCATGTGATGAGAAGATGTTCAGTGAATTGTCAGTGAATCTGCTCCTCCTGCTTCCCGTGATCCAAAACAAGCTTTGGGACCATACCATACCAAACCAGTACAATCCCTTGTGAATATGTGGGGCTTTTGCTTGACAGTAGATCAAGTGGCATATCTAAAGAATAATAATAATGTCCATTCCTTGTTTAGATTAACTGGTATAACCATTTGTATGATATTAAGTTGAACTAGCTTGATGCACATTTTGGAGAATCGTTCTTAAATGAAAGTCTTTAAAGTCTAATATACAGTTGCAAAAATGCAAATACTGAGATTCGACAGAAGGTATAGATAACACATAGGATAAAATGAGATAGAGTCGCTATAGATTATTTGGTCATATCCTATGTCAACCTCCAAATGAACCGAAACCATGTTAGGAGCTTGATAGATGTAAAAATGTATAATCACATGTAACCTAATGTAGGGAAATTGTCATAAAAGACCTACAAACATCTTGGAATTCATGCACACTTAAAAGAAGAATAGGGCAAATGGAAAAAAACAAAAGAAATGGTAGGTTAAGTTTTTAGCCACGTTTGTACGTTTATACTTTAAGCCCAATATTTGCTAGGAATCTTTTAATCTTGTCAAAGATTTATATGTCTATAGAACATGGGTAGAGAACTTTTAGTGGAGCAACATGAGAATTCACACAACCAGACCTCAAATTTTTTAAATTGAGGCATAGTCGTTGTTGTATCCTTATCTAATGATCTTGTCTTTATGTCGAAGAAAATACAAAGGAAATATTTGTAACCTTCTTGCTCAAAATTAGGGGTGTGCATGATCCGGGTTGGTTCGATTTTTATCAAAACCAAATCAAACCAACTATGTTGGTTTGGATTGATTTGATTTTGTCGGTTTTTTCGAATTTTCGAATTTTTTTGTTACATGAATATTATTTCAATCTTACTTTATTAAAGTTTTAGATAAAGTTTTGATAAGTGAATATATGTTTAGTAAAAATTACAAAAATTGACAAATATATGATCTATTAAAATATTCTTATGAGAGTTTTTTTTATAACACGTGATAGTTATTTTCTTAGTCGTCTAACAATAATTTTTCATTGACGTATGCTTTTAAGGTTAACCAAATTTAATAATTAAATATTAAAATTAATATAAAACATAAATAATGATATGTTCTATTAAGTTTTAAAATTATCGAAATACCATTTTAAATTTGAAAAAGATATAAGAATTTAACAGATCTTGATATATGAATATGAAAGAACAAAGAGATTGACGCATTTGAATAACATTTGATAAAAAAGTGATGATACAACCCATTATTTAAAGTAAATAAAAATAGATGCACATAGTTCTATTAAATATTACATCAATGAGAGGATCCCAAATATTTCTAGACGTTTTCTAAATAAAATTCTATATAAAATCTTAATAGTATATATAAAAATTATATATTTATATGTCGGTTTGGTTCGAGTTTTTTTACCTAATACCAAATCAAATCAAACCAAACCTAATCGGGTTTTTGATCGATTTGATTTGACTTTTCTGTTTTGTACGATTTTTTGATTCGGTTTGAACACCCTGCTCAAAACCATCTTACTCACTTTTTTTTATCCTTGGAATCTACAGCTATGGTGCGGGGCAGCTCAAATTCCTAAATTAACTTGGAATATGAGAGTTCATTACTTAAATAATTAATAAACTATTGAAAATAGATGAATAAAGTCACTTTTTTTTTTTGGTATTAAAAAATCACTTATTTTTTGATATTTCATTCAAAAGGACACTCAAGGCGGAAAATGATATGTTCCCTCCGGCCACTTTTTAATAACGTAAATAACGTGGCACCTTGAGCAAAATGATAGACTCTATATTGCATTCTTTAGGATATTGAGCAAAATATTCTGTCTGTCCTATTCTTTCTGATATCATATATTTCCACTACCTATATATCTTCATCCAAGGAAATACTTGTGTCGTATTCTAGAGCATGGCGAAGCTAGGAATTTTCAAGGGTGTTTAAATTTAAAAGAAGTGAAATTTTTTTTTAACAAAAGGTGTTCAATATGTGTTATATACCTATAAAACGTAATATTTTACCTATGTACACGGTACAATTTTTCGACAAAGGGGACCAAGTGGCTTCCCACTGTTCTAGAGGTTATATCTGCTTGTCGTTGGGATCTAATAGTAGTTTTCCCAATATCTGGTTTTTTTCATTCCTACTTTTACCTATCAATTTCAAATAATGCATGTCTTGAAGTCCTCTCACTAAGAAAAACGAATTTCTATCTACTAAAGTCTATTTATGCTTTAATTGCGTTTAGCTCAAGTTTGAGAAATGCGTTCACCAATCAACATTAATGAGTAATAATTTGGGAACAACGTAACTATTGCTTAAGAATATTCCAATGCCTATTACAATCAGTGAGGGGATTTTTGAATCCCTTTGTTACCACGTACGCTAGAAGATCTTTCAGCATTAATGAGATTCAACTATTAATATGTACAAATAAAAATTATATTCATAGTGTAATTTTCGAGCAAAAAAGGATTCAATTGACCACGATTGGCTCCACCATTGCCTATAACCACTTCTTTTGTATTTTATACGATATTTTATAGATTAAAGAACGTACCAGTTTCCTACTAGACCCAACAACTGAGGGTCCTTGGTCTTCCACTATAGGTTCAATTTAAACAAGAAGATGTCCGACAATGAAATTGACCTGCTAAATGGTACTCCATAAAAGACTGGGTTAATTAGAATAGGAAACAATAAGTTATTTGGCAAAGCCAAAATTCAAAACTATACTTAATTGGATTCTTTGGAAATAATACATTCAGCAAATAAAAATGTGTACTTTACAAATTGAGATCTCAGATTACAAATATATAGAAACGGGAGTTAAAGCTATACGAACAAGCTATACGACCAAGGGTAAATGTGGTATTATAGTTGTTTATCATGGCCATTTCGGTATTTGACTTTCATTATGGGCCACGTGTTTAGCAGCTTTATATTTATGTGAACATGTGACTTTAACATCACTTTTATTTCTAGTTCTTCTTCAATCGCTGTTCTTTCTATTACTCTCCCTTTCTCTCTCACTTGCATCTTTATATCTTCTCTCCAACTAATTCTTTTTGTAAAAAGTTTTGCTCATATTCAATCTTAATCTGCATGTTTGTATATAGTCGCAATAGATTTCGGCCTTCGTACGTCTGATCGAGTTCGAAAGATAAGCGATCGAAGCGAGACTTCGAGATGGGTTCCAAATATGGTACAAACAAGTTTCGAACCCGAGGGGCCGATCAATGTCGAGTTCGATATCATTATCAAGCTCGAATCCAAATCAAACTATGATGCAAAGTAAAGCTATCAAGCTTATGATCCGGAGACCGACCAACATTGACTCTGAATCAATTCAAGGGTCCGAGTCAGAATCGAGCTTAAGCCAAGATCGAGAGCTCGAGTCAAGATCGAGCTCACAAACAAAAGCCGTTGCAATCCCACTAGAGGAGAGAATCTTGGCAGGAATTGTGAAAAAATTGATTTATCATGGACTTTCCACTGAGTATTTTTAATTATATTTAAAGTAAGATCCATCTACTATAAGGGTGGAGGGTTATCATTTCTGTAAGGGGAGTTTTTGGGATAGAGCTCACATTGTAATTCAAGCACCATATCCTCTTATATTCAAGAGTTACTCTTTTAAGCCTAAAAAACTAATCCATCTTGCTTAGTCCTAAAAATCGTCTTCTTTATAACTTTGTTTATTTTATATTCCCTGCAGTCCATATTTGATATTTCCTTTTATCCTTACGATTTGTATTAAGCTATATCACATATCCTTAGAACTACGTATAAATTCAACTCTATCCGTTTTTGGGGTAAACAGTTTGACGCCCACCGTGGGGCTAAGGATAACAGTGGTTATTTGATACGAATCTGAAAAAACACGCCATTGTGTTTTGTGCTTATTTTCGAAAATATCTTGAATTTCGGATTAGCTACGACTAACCACCAATCAAATGGTTTCACCAATCGACATCGGAGCCGGCCTTCAAGACGAAAACAACAACTTGACACCCAGTATTGAAAGACCACTTGTAAACGCTGTTGGAGCTCGAATCGGAGCGCCAATAGATATCAATTCACATGTAGCCATTGAGGCGAACCTACATGTTGAACCCGATCCTTGTCCTCATCAATGCTCGAGAACAGAGCCTTGGTAGCTTGACACTGGAGTTTTATTAACCCCCCTCGAAAAGGTCGAGGACGGTACAATCAGATAAGATGGTCGAGGGTGAACGACATTCCCTCGATTTTGTTCACAAAGTATCAGATCAAGATAACAATCCGTCAAAAAGAAGGATGGACCTGGCCTAGGGTTATTTGGTATTGAGGACAGAAGTCAATAATAACGGAATCGAGGGGACCTAAAGTGAAAGGGTAAGTATACACATTCAAAAATCTTTTCATGTAAGTGGTGATATCTTAGTCAGAAGTAGGAATTATTATTATTTTTTTATCCCAATTGCAATCTTTCTTTAGCTGTTTGAGGTGCTTCTCGGTTATCGAACACATGTACCTCGATACTGGCTCGCATCGGCCAGGGACCAATGAGCCTTTATCGACCTTAAAATCAGAATTAAGAACACACCCCGAGAACGCACTCCTCAGGTCGTGGTTCTGCCGGTGTCTCATCGGCGGCACACTGTGAAGATGAAGCCTTCTCTTTCTGAGGAATGGT